TGTGCATTGTTTAAAATTATTTTATTTAACCTTCAGATATTTGGGGTTTTCTAATATATATTATTGTTATTTATAATGCACATTTTATATGATTTTGATCTTTTAAAATTTATTGAAATTTGCTTTCTCTCCCAGGATATGTTCTGCCTTGGTGATTGTACCATGTGCAATTGAAAAGAATGTGTTCTGCCATTTTTGCAGGAAGAATTCTTTAAATGTCAGTAGTCAACAGTGTTATTTGGATCTTTTGACAGTGTTATTTGGATCTTTTATGTGTGTAATAATTTTTTATATAGCACTAATAGTTGCTGGGAGAGAGTATTAAAAATATTCTACTCTAAGTGTGGATTTGCATTTGTCCCTTTAATTTTGTCAATTTTGCTTCATGTACTTTGGGGCTCTGCTGTTAGGTACATATACATTTAAAATTGATAAAACTTCCTGGAGAATTTTTAAAATTTAATTATGGCACATCTCTTTTTATTTGCAGTAATAATACTCTTTGTCTTGAACTTACTTTATTTCATGTCAAAATAGCCTCTCCAGCCTTCTTATGCTTACTGTTTGCATAGTAAATTTTTTCCCATCCATTTACTTATTAGATCTATCTGCAATTGTATATTTAAAGTTTCTCTCCTTTGGGCAGCATGTGTAGGATTTTGGTGTTGTTTTGTTTTTGTTTTTTAAATTTACTTAGTCAACCTTTGCCTTTTATTTGGAGAGTTTAGCCCATTAATATTTAATGTAATTGAATATTGATTCGTTGGCTTTAGGGCCACCATTTTATTGTCCTCTTTGTTTTTCATTCGTCACTTCTAATTTTTCTGCCTTCTTTTGGATTATATTTTAGTATTCCATCTTAATATATCTATTGGCCTTTTTGGCTTTATCTTTTTGTTTTTTAATGAATGCCCTAAGGATTATAATATATACCTAACCTTTTACAACATGCTAAGAATTACTGTTGTACTGCTTCATTTAAAATAGAGAAACCTTGCAATCATACAGATCTTTTTATTTCCCTACTGCAAACTCACCCCACCCCCCGCCCCCCAGGCAAACTTTATGTTATAGTTGTCATATGTGTTATGGCTGCATACTTGGAAAACCTCAACATACAATATTATAGTTTTTGTTGTCAAGTCATATATACTCTAAAGAACTTAAAGGAAAAAAGTAGTATTTTATGTTTACCTGTGTATTTACTATTTCTGTTCTTCTTTCCTGAAGTTGCTACATTTCCTTTCAGCCTAAAGTACTTATTTTAGCATTTCTTTTAGAGCAGTCTGCTGGGGATAGACTCTGTTTTTCTTCATCTGAGAATGTCTTTATTTTGCTTTCATTCCTAAAGGATATTTTAGGTGGACATAGAATTCTGAGTAGACACTTATTTCCTTTCAGCATCTTAATGATTTTTCACTGTCTTTTTTTTATTATTATTAGTTTCAGGTGTACACATCAATGTAATGGTTAGACATTTACACCCCTCACAAAGTAATAACCCCCCCAATCTATTACTCCTCTCACATCTTATATAGCTATTACAGTACCATTAACTGTATTCCCTATGCTGTACTCTGCATCCCGTGACTACACACATACACATACACACATATATATACACACACACACACACACACACACACGCACGCACGTATACATTATAGTTGACATTCAGTGGCACCCAACTTCAGCTTTAGGTGTATAGCGCAGTGGTCAGGCATCTACGCAGTCTATGAAATGAACTCCCTGATAAGTCCAGTCCCTGTCTGGCACCCTACATAATCTTTACAACATTATTGATTATAGAATATTATGCTAAGTGAAATAAGTCAGACTGAGAAAGACAAATACCATATTTGTCATTTATATGTAGAATCTAAAGAACAGAGTGAGTGAACAGAGAGAACAGAAATAGACTCAGAGAGATAGGGAAAAGAAAAAAACTGATGGTTGCTAGATGGAAGGGCAGTGGGGATGGGGGAGAAGGTAAAGGGATTAGAAAGTACAAATTAGTCACAATATAGTCAGGGGGATGTGAAATAACAGTTTGGGGAATATAGTCCATTGTCTTTTTACCATTATGATTTTCGATGAAAAACTTTGGGTAATTTGAATCTTATTCCCCTCTATATAGTATGTCATTTTTCTCTATCTGCTTTCAAGAATATTTCCTTTGATTTTTGGTTTTCAGCAGTTTGATTTGATGTGTCCAGTCATTATTTTCTTTGAGTTTTATCCTCTTTGAAGAATGCTCAGCTTTGTGAATCTGGAAATTTGTCTTGCACCAAATTTGGGATGCTTTCTGCCATTGTTTCTTAAAATACTCTGCCCTAGTTTCTTTCTTTTTTGCTTCCAAGATTCCACTGATAATATGGTAAAGCTTTTTGAGATTGTCTCACAAGTCTCTGACTGTTCATTTTTCCTTTTGCCATTCTTTTTTCTCTTTGTTCTTCAGATTGGATAATTTTTATTGATTTCAAGTTTACAGAATTTTTTCTCTGTCATCTCCATTCTCTTATTGAGGCCATCCAGTGAATTTTTAATTTCACATATTGTATTATTCAGTTTCAAAATATACATTTGGTTCATTTTTAAAAATAATTTGTCTTCTGAGAACTTTTCTCCAAGTGTGTTTGCCTTTACCTGATAGATATTTATAGTAGTTGCTTTAAAAGTGTTGTTGGATAGTTATAATATCTGGATCATCTCAGGGTTGGCACCTGTTAATTATTTCTTTCCTTGAAATTAATCACATTTTTCTTGCTTTTTGCATTGTGAGAATTTTGAATTTTATCTTGGACATTGTGAATGTTATGTTTTGTAAACTCTGGGGCATATCATAATCTCTGGAGAAGGTGAATTTTTGTTGTTTCTTTTAGCAAGACTACCAACCCATTTAAGTTCAGATGGCAAATTTACTCTTGCCTTCTGTGGGTGGCGGTTCAAATTTCATTTCAGTTCTCAGAGTCTTTGCTATGTTAGTATAGGTCTGTCCCATACCTGTATAGCTCCAAAGTAAGCCCAAGACTTGTGTCGGTTTATAAACAGAATTACAGAATCCCTTTCTCCATTGCAGGATTTCTTCCACATTCTTCAACAGGCAGGAGTCCCTCTCCCCAGTTCCTGTGGCCAGAAAAATGGGGTTTCTCTTGGAGTTTTAATGTCTGCGCTATTGACCTGTATGCAGTGAGTGATTGCCTCCTGGCACTTGGACAAAGCTGTTAGGGAAAGGGGGGAAATGGGCTGGGAAGTGCACTCTCCTGTGGGTCAGTTTTCTACATTTGACTCTCCTACACAATCTGCTTTTATTTGCTTTTCAGAGTCTTCAAGTAATACCCTCCCTCCCTCCCTCCCTCCCTTCCTCCTCCTCTCCTTCCCTTCCTCCCTCCCTCCCTTCCTCTTTCTCTTTTTCTTCTTTTTGTATTTTGTCCACAATTTTTAGTTGTAAACAGTGGGAAAGTTAGGCTGTATTTGGGTTTATGCCATCATACTGTAACCATTTTTTTTCCTTTGGCTGCTTTTAAGATTTTTCTCTATATCTTTGATTTTTAGTAATTTGACTATACTGTACCTAAATATGTTGTGTGTGTGTGTGTGTGTGTGTATTCCATGCTTCATGTCCATTGAACTTCTTAGATCTGTGTGATACTAGTTTTTGTTTAATTTGGCACATTTTGGGTTTTATTTCTTCAAATATTATTTCAAGCCCAGTCTCTTATTTCCTTCTGGGAATCCAATTACACACATATGAGACTGCTTGATATGGGTGAGGGGGTTGTCAAACTTACTTTGTAAAGGGCCAGATAGTAAATACTTTAGGCTTTATAGGCAGTATGGTCTCTGCTGCAACTATTCAACTCTGTTATTATAGCTTAAAAGCAGCCATAGACAATATGTAAACAGATGAGCATGGCTGTGTTCCAATATAACTGTATTTACATAATAGGTGACAGGCTAGATTTGGACTACAGGCTGTAGTTTGCTGACTCCTGAGGCAGGTAGTGGTAGTTGCTGGAGCTACATTGTGAATTGGGGTAAAATCAAAGAAGTGCAAAACAAATATTGGCAATAACTAAAGTGTTGGGAATTGGGGAAATAAACATCAGGGTGTAAGAGAAGAGACTAGCAAGATATGTTAGGACCAGGGTATTGTTATGTTTCAGGTATTGCTTTGTTTGAGAACAGTAGAGTATCTCTAGTATCATTGTAGAGGATAAAAAGGCCCAAAGCAGTGCTACCATTAAAGAAGCAATTGCAGTAGTTTTTGGATTTATTTATTTATTTATTTATTTATTTTTATTGTGAAATACACATTTTTTTAAAATTAGTTTCAGCTGTACAACACAGTGCAATAGTTATAGTTTTTACCCCTCAAAGTGACAACCGCCCTCCTCCAACCCGCCACCCCACTCCCCCCTCCCCCAATATCATACATATCTATTATAATTCTCTTGACTCCACTCCCACACTATACTCCACATCCTGTGACTATATATATATTCAATTATAGTTGACATTCAATATTATACAACATCAGCTTCAGGTGTAATCTGGAGTAGTTTTGACAAGTGTTAATGAACCCTGAGGTAATGCAGTAGGAACAGATGAAATAGAATGGATTTTAGAGACATTTTTGAGTTAGAAGGATGAAGAAAGAATGTTAGGCCTAGCAGGTAACTAGATTTCAAGTATAGAAATAATGCCTTTCCTCTAGTTGGTAAGGGAGGAAGAACTAGTTTTTCAAGAGTCCATTCTGGGTACCCTTTTCTCTAAATATTCTTCATTATTTCAGTCAGTTCTGTGATTTCAATTATTACCTAAATGTTTTTGACTTCCTGGTCTGAGATTTGTAGCTAAAACCTTTCCCTTGACCTCTAGACCTGTATTTTGCAAAGTGTGCTGGGAGTCTCAATCCTGTCTCAAATACATTATGTTCAGTCTATTCAAAGGCTCCTCATGAATATACTGTCACTTACAAACTGCCTCTTTTTCTGTAGGTCAGCTAAACAGAAGTCTGAGACATCACCTTGAAGTTGGCATTGAGGGATCATAATGACCTAACACCCACTCACTCCCACCTTTTTTCCAGAAGGCAAGGAGAAGTCACATTTCAGTAGGAAAACGAATTGATGTTAGATGGAAAAGGGAGTAGAGTATTTAGACATTAGTGTTTAAAGGAAAAGAGGGAAAGAAGAAGGAGACAAAGAATGAATTCATCTTTTGGATGAGGACACTAGTACATTTTCTTAGTGTCCTGCCCATGTATCTTTGGCATTCATCTCCCTACTGTCTACTTACATCTATGACTTTCTGCCTGAGAACTTTCTTACTGGCTGCAGAGACACACTGTGTGTAGGCCAAGTCAGAAATGCCAGAGAGTTAATGTCTTCAGAAAGGCCTTCAACCAGTGATAGATGAGGAGCTGGTCAATAAAGACCTCATTTATCTCATCCTTCAGTTGGGATAACTGAGCCACCTTCTACACTGGCTATCTGAGTTCTCCAATAGGATCATGCTCTACTGTCCATTTCAGGGTAACTGGCTTAATAACTCACTCTTTCTTGACTGCCTTCCCTCCCCTACTTCACTTTGATTCCCCCACCAGGGTTTTTCCTGGATCACCTCTCAAAACAACTTTCTGGACTTGAATCCTTGAATCAAGTCTGCTTCTTGGGAAATCCAAACCAAGGCAGACACTTTACTTCAGCATGGTAATAATAAGAAATAAAATTTGTTCAGCTCTTACAAAATACCTATCATAACTTTAAGCGCCTCGTAATCCAGTGGGAGAGGTAGTCTTTTATCCTGTTTTACAGATGAGACAACTGAGGCACAGAGAGGTTAAGTAACTTTTCCGAGATTACAGAGCTAATAAATGACAGAGCCTGCATTTGAACCTAGGCTGTTTGCCTGTAAATTCTATACTCTTAACTTGGTAGACTGAGAATATCAACAAAAAAGAGAATGGAGATAATTAATGGAGTAAGGCCCTTGTAGAGATCAAAGTAGGTTAAGGAAAGTAAAGGGAGTATGTTCCTGTATGTTCCTGGTGGTTGTCTCCATTTTAAGCATTTATGTAAAGGGTCAGATTATCTGTCGTGAGCTAAATGGGTGGTTAGGGGTGCAGTGGCTAGAAAGGTTGTAGATTTTCATGGTGGATATACCTTTATTGTCAGAGAACATAGCTGGCTCTAGACCAGCATTCTGATGATGTTCATGAACTCTCAATAGCTATTATTGTTTAGGGCTGTTAGAGCTTATTGAAAATGAGGTTTGTAAGTTACCAATATATAAATAAATATGAACAGTTAACTCTCATGAGTTGTAGTATATATACTAAAGATTTAAGGGACAGGAAATGAAAGAAAAAGATCGAAAAGGAATCATCATTAAAGGTAGAAGGAACACTGAAAAATAGGGGTCGTTCTAAGATAGGGAATTCAATAGCCAACAATAAAATATGTGCTATTAAGAAGTCTCCTACACTTCTAGAAGTTTTATCGTGAGGGACTAAAAAAGTTCTAGACTGTTTTTCCTCAAGAAACTTGGTGACGAAGAGGAATAGGGAAGTCACTTAACTTTTTTTCTTTTTTCTCATTTGGAGGAGGCCAGTAGGCCTCCCATGTTAGAAGCCGTAGAAAAAAGAGACAGATTAAAGAGTGAACAAAGAGAGGGTGTGTGTAAATGGCTGAGCCAAATTCCAAGGATGGTGAATGAGATGGGTTCCCTTGTATGAGGAAGGGTACACTTGGATATGGTAAGGGCTGTCTCTTTTGGGATGGGGGAATTGAAGGAAGAGGTTTCAATTTGGAGAAAGTTTCAGGGACATATTTTCAATGTTTTCATCTTTCTATGCTGAATTCTAGCTATTTTCAATTCTCTGTTCACCTGTGTCATATATAGTAAACTTACTTATTGAGTCTTTAGTTTCAGCTATTATATTTTTTATGTGTAGAAGTTTGATTTGATTTTTTTTTTTTTACATGTGCTATGTTCTTCATACCCGGCAGATATTTTAAAGCTAGTCTTTTATTTCTTTAAATTTGGTAAGCGTAGTTGTGTCTGAAAATTCCATCTGAAATCTGTTTGGGTGTCTGTTTCTGCGAGTTCTCACCCATGGTGCCTTGTCTGTTATCTGTGCCCTGCTCATTCCGCCCACTAACTCTCCTTATCCTTGTGGTGGCTCTTTGAGGCCCGGGATGAATAGATTGTCTTCAGAAAGTTTTACAGTTGTTTCTTTGCTTGAATTTTCCTCCCCTACTTAGGCTCTGTGTACCTTAGAGTATAAATCTGTATGGTCTAAAGTCAACTTTTCAGAGATTTCTTCCCTCACTCTACTCCACCCTCTTCCCCACCCTCTTTTTCTTTTTCTCTGCCTACTGCCAAGGTAGCTTTATCTACCCCTTATCCCCTTTTGAAGACTTCCAAATAAGATCAAGAGACTGAAACTATATAGGGACTCAGTTTGCATCTTTCTCTTGGATCAACTTGAACTGTTAAAATCTTTTTTTTTTGTTTCTAATTATCAGCCTAGGTTAGGTAAATAAAAGTTTTCTATTTAGTAATCAGACTACTATTTCCCTAATTTATTCAGTGATGCTTGAACACAATGAGAGTACCATTACATGAATTACACAGGAGAAATAAGTCTAGCTTCTATAGAAAAACTTCAGTTTACATATGGTGTTTTATAAATTAGTTGATTTTTAAAAATTGTTATATTTAATTGATAATTCACTTATTAATTCCTTATTTGTGAGTTATTTTGCATTTTCCATCTAGTTATGTTATCTACAAATAAAAGCGCTTTACTTTTTCTTTTCAACCATTATGAATTTTATTTCTTTTACTTGAATTACTTAATACAGTACAGTATTAAATATAAGTGGTGACAGTGTAAGTCCTTAATTTTTTTTTCCCATACTTAGTGGAAGTATTTAATTTTTTATCATTAAAATTTTAAGTATAATTAAGTATAATGTTAGCTGTAGGTTTTATTGTAGATAATCTTTATCAGATTAAGTAACTTCTTTTCCTAATTTACTGAGGCATGACATCACCAGTAGTTGTTTTATAAAATATTTTTTCTGTTGAAATGATCGTATTTCCCCTTTTCTGTTATTCAGTTGAATTATAACAATTGGCTTTTGCATTTTGTCTACTTTTTTACCTGTGGCTGGACATTGATAGTATTTTTAGATCAATGGCTCTTTTCCTTATTTTTTTAAATTGAGATAGAATTCACATACTATAAAACATACTTTTTAAAAGTATATAACTCAGTGGTTTTCAGTATATTCACAAAGTTGTGCAACCAGAACAATTTTCTTCATCCTGGAAAACATCCCTTACCCATGAATAGTCCCTCTTGACTCTTTTCCTTTCCATCAGCTCTTGCAACCACTAATCAGCTTCTTGTTGCAATCTGCATTTGTCTATTTGAACATTTCTTTCTTTCTTTTTTTTTAATTAAAGTTTATTGGGGTGACAATGGTTAGTGAAATTACGTGGGTTTCAGGTGTACGATTCTGTAACACATCATCTATATATCACATTGTGTGCTCACCACCCAGAGTCAGTTCTCCTTCCATCAGCATATATTTGATCCCGTTTTCCCTCTCCTACCACCCTCCTCCCCCCTTACCCTCTGGTAACCACTAAACTGTTGTCTATGAGTTTCTGTTTCTTTTAGTTTGTCTTGTTCCTCTGTTGGTTTCAGTTTTATATCCCATATATCAGTGAAATCGTATGGTTCTCAACTTTTTCTGTCTGACTTATTTTGCTTAGGATAATAATCTCAAGATCCATCCATGTTGTCGCAAATGGCACTATTTTATTTTTTCTTATGGCAGAATAGTATTCCACTGTGCGTATATACCACATTTTCTTTATCCAATCATCTATTGAAGGACACTTTGGTTGTTTCCATGTCTTGGTCACCATAAAATATTTGAACATTTCATATAAAAGGAATCATAATTTGTGACCTTTGGTGGCCTTTTTCTTTGACTTAGCATCATGTTTTGGGGGTTCATCCATATTGTAGCATGTGTGTACCTCATTTTTTTTAATAACAGTAATATTTCATTATATGGATGTACCACATTTTGTTTACCCATTCATCGACTGATGAACACTGGGGTTTCCACTTTTTGGCTATGTAGTATTTTTGCTTCTATCTTCATGGGAGATAGTGGCCTGAAATTTTCTTACTTTGAAATACCCTTTTCAGATTTTGATATCAGAATTATGCTAGCCTCACATAGTGATTTGGGAAATGTTTCTTCTTTTTATATTCTCTGGATGAGTTAATCTGAGATTGGTATTGTTTGAAAGAATGTACCAGCAAATTTTTTAAATGTTTGGAGGAATTCACTGGCAAAGCCATTTGAGTCTAGAGTTTTCTTCGTGGGAAGGTTTTGATTAAGGATTCAGTTTCTTTAACAGATGTGTCTGTTCAGATATTGTATTTTTTTCCTTGTTAGGTGTTGGGAAGTTATATTTTTGAAGGAATTTGTCTATCTTATGTAAGTTGTGAAATTAATGGGTAGATCTGTAGTGATATCTCCTTATTTCTCATATGGGTAATTTGCAGCTTTATTTTTTTCCTGACCAATCTTGCTAGATGTTTATTACATTTACTAATCTTTTCAGAGAACCAATTTTGGCTCCTTGATTTTCTATATTGAATGCCTGCTCTCTATTTCATTAATGTCTGCTCTTGTTTTATATTTTCCTCTTTGTACATTCTTTAATTTGCTGTTTTTTTCTTAAGTTGTAAGCCTATATCATTTACTTTCATACTTTCCTTTTTCATAATATGCATGTATATATTTGCAAAATGATGTATATTTCCCCAAAGCACTACTTTGGCTGCATTCCACAGGTTTTGGTATGTCATATTTCATTTTCATTTAATTGAAATATTTTCTAATTTCCATTGTAACTTTCTATAGTTCTTTGACTCATAGTTTATTTAGAAATCTGTTGATTTAGGTTTCCAGACATTTGG